TAAAATATATTTCAAAGTAACCACAAAATATTTTATATTTTATCGGATAAAACAAGAAAGGAAAAGAAGAAAAAGAGTAAAGCTATTATAATACACATTAATATTCATTTGAAATAGGTAAAATGGTCTTAAAAAATAAACTTTTATAATTTTTTAAAAAAGAAGAAAATAAAAAATAAGTAAAAATAGTATAAAAAAATGTAAAAAAATGATGTATATAAACGTATATTCTTTAAAGAAAAAAGAAATTGTAAGATACAAAGGAAGTTATAAATTTACTGTCACCCTGAAAATAATTTAAAGAAAAGGGAATTCCTGAAATACAATAAAAGTCGACAAGAATAACCCGTTCCAAACAATCCTAACTACAATCTCACATCTCTAACAGAAGAAAGCCAAGAGAAGTGAAAGAAGGGTGGCAGAACCTCCAACAAGTCCGACAGATGCAGCTTCAGAGTTCTGTGGGAGAGGGATGAGAGAGCTTGAGGGAGAAGGGGGGGGAGGAGCGGTGGCGGCTGGAGGAGGGGTAGCGACAGGGGAAGACGAGGTGGCACTACTATTGTTGTCGGTGACATTGATGGCGAGTTTTTGACCTCCTTGACAGTGCCCTAGAACTCCACAGATGAAGAAGTGAGCACCAGATCTGTTCAAGGTCACTCTCACGGGTGTTGTGGTGTAAGTGGCAAGAGGAGAGGTTGAGTTGCAAAAGTCAAAATTCTCTTTTCTCACTTCCTCTACGTTGTGAGTATTGGATCGGTAGTTGAACACTGCAAAACACAAACAATAGAAGATATCGTTAGTTATTTGCTTCAAGCTTTGATCAACTATAAATGAGCCATAAATCTCTTAAAATCGTGTAAACGTTTAATTTAATGATGCATGTTGACTTACCTAGTATGTCTCCAGCCTTGAAAGTCTTGCCAGATGCCCAAGATGTGTAAGCTGCAGCACCGTTAGTGGGAACAGTCCAGCCTAAGCTCTCTCCAACAGTGAAAGTAACTGGTCCAGTGGATGGGCCTGGAGCTGGGGATAACATAGTGCTTGGTGTTGGTGAAGAACCACTCGTACTAGGTTGAGGGGCAGAAGAAGGAATGG